AATACTACTGTCAGCTCCCCTTAAAGGAAAGTTCTAGAAACTGGCTTTGTGAGGGAGCCGGGAGAGAAGAGGTGTGAGTATTTTATTTTATTTTATTTTATTTATTTTCTGTCACGCATTCCAAATTCAGTTTTTAGAAATCGAAGTTTCAATGCTTTCTATTGATCTGCTTTTGAGATCGGTTTGCGTTTCAGTTACTCTTGCCGCGTGACAAATTATCCCTTAGAACAACCATTTTATTTTTCTCACAATTTGGAGAGGACTCAGCAGGGTGTCTCTTGCTTGGCGTCTCTTGTGTGATGACATCGGAAGCTGGCTGGGGCCACAGCTATCTGAAGGTTCGTCTGCTCCGGGCATTCAAGATTGCTCTACTCTCAAGGGTCATGGCCAATGCCGAGGGATCCTCAGTGAGTTGAAGCTTAACCGGGTCTGTCTCCCACAGCGCCGTCTGGGTCTCTGCATGTGGTCTGGGCTTCCTTACAGTGTGGCTGTGTTAGGGTCGTCCATACTCTCACGTGATGACTCAGGGCTCCAGATGCCAGCATCTCGGTGGCGTAGGTGTCTACTGCGTAGCTTGTGGTGGCTTCACCTTGGAAGTTACGCCGTGTTACTCCTGCTCCATTGTCTTTGGTAATCAGAGAGTCACTTGTCCAAGAATCAAGGGCACAGACCATCAAGTCCACCTAGTGGTGGTTTAACTGTGACCAAGCATTCGCGCCCATGTTTTAAAATGGTCACAGTTTGGATTCTAGAATCGAAGAGTTTTCACTAAAGAAGCATTCCTTTGGTTACTTCAGAAAGTCCTAAAAATGTCTTCAAACTTCTAAGCTTTCAAAACTCCGTTCAGAAAAGATGAAGAAAGGCGACTTTTGCTCTCGAGCAAATCATTCCACTTCGTTCAGCCTCCTTCTCCTCGTCAGTGCAGTAGGAACAGCGACGTTGAAACTGCAGGATGGTTTTGAGGGCGGGGCAGTGCTGATACCTAAAACAGAGTGGACCTCGGTGGTAATAACCACAGTGTGTTGGCCGTGTGGGAAGCCGAATTGTAATCTGATTTCCTAACCCTCAAATTGTATAGCGTATCTCTGAAAAGCAGCTTTTCACAGTGGATTGGGGCAGGCCGTTACGTACCAGTTTAGAGATTACGCAGGCGGTGGAACAAGGCCACGAGATATCAGGGGTCCGAGGATACCAGAGACCGACTTGTCTTGCTTTGCGATTCTACTTCAGACCAGCTCGCTGGGAATTAGCCGGACAGAGGACCTGGAGAAGGGCTTCCTCTCAGTGTGTTTGGAAACTGGCTGGCTCAGCGGCCTCACAGAGCCAGGGCTGAGCCTCCCTGTCCCGGGTATTTTTAATCTTTCCTGTGTGTTTCGGAGGTGAATGGATTCAGAGAGGATAAAGGCAGTGAGTGGCAGTAACTCAGTTCCTTGACGCTGGTGCTGAGCTTCAGGTGCCAGGCGCCTGGTGGTGTTATTTATTGGCCGTGTTTTGAATCGGTTCAGAAAAGCTGAACACCGTTTGGCACTTCCTTTCAGTCGTCCTTAATTCTAACCTGCAAGTTTTGTGCTGTAATTTGTCAATGGTGCTTCGGCGAGACGTCACAGTCTTCCTAGAAACAGAGACGGATCCTGCTTCCCAGTGAGGATCATTTAAGAGAAATCAGAGAACCTTTCAGGGGCATGAGGCTGTCGATTGCTGTCATTTATTAGCATGACTCAAATTCTTTACCGTGTACCGAGTGACAGACAACAAGGGTGCCAGGGGCATTGGCTAAGCACAGGATTCCAGATTGTTTCTGCCCAGAGGACACAACCTCCCTGTTTTCACAGGTTTTGTTTATTTTGCCCCCTGCTCCTTCCGAGTATTCTGCTAAATTGTGAACGTCCTGATCTGGGTGGAAAATTGATCCAGGGAGAGGTATCTCTAAGGGTCCTCAGACCTATCTTTGGTCACCTTTCGTGAGACAGGGCCATGGCACGTAACCGCCAGCTTCCGTAATGATGGCAGACTTCTTTTCGCATGCCTCACTGTTCCCGCTCCATCCCTCGTCACGTTGAAACAAATCTCATTTTATTTCATTCATAGATACATCCATCCGTACTCTCTTGAAACACCTCTTTCTTCTGAATTTATTTCAAACTTGACAGAAAGTTTTTCCTTCTGCCTAAACTAAATTTCTATCGGTAAATCTTCTGCGTGTTTCCCTGTAATTGAAGTTCGTGATTAGTGCTCCCTTCCGTCATTCATGAACAACTCTAAATTTAATAATGTCTTTTATTTAGCCAGTGGGCCATCTCTAGTGAGTGTTCAAACTGTGCAACGGGAAGGAAAAAATTTATTTTTGGCAATATGGTTTTCTCGGGCTATGAGCTGTGTCCCGTGCTCTTGGCTCATGAGTTTGGAAGACATTTTTATTCCTGAGAGACTGAGAATTAGAATCTCATGGGCTTCTTCATTCATTCTGCAGGGACAGTAGCAGAGTGTAAGCCCTGTATTTCTGCCATATCAGGGGTGTTACACAAAATGAGATGTGGACGGGCCGTTTGTTTCCTGCCCGGTAAAAGTGGGCCTTTTTCCTCCACTTTAAGTCTGTGATGATATCGATGTTCCCTATTCGTTAACTCAGTGCTTGGCATATAATAGGCGTTCTGCGTTTGCTTGCTCAGTTGCTGGAATGACAGAACAATGGAGCTGTGGAGCTCGTGGATGTCCATAATAATGTTCTCCTTGGAATATACTTTGGGGTACATCCTGTCATCAAAGAGGAAAGGATAGCAAGGCTTTGGCAGATGCATATTTCATTTCCATCTCATCCAATCTTATCTCATCCCTTTCCATAATTTACCGAGGGCCAACTCTGTACAAGGTCCCACGGTAGGGTCAGGGGATACCAAAGAGAAACGAGACAAAATACTTATTCTAGATGGGCTCATGGTATCAGGGGACTGTGGAAGATAAAAAATGGTTGCAAATTCTTTCCTTTTCTTCCAACTGAGAGGGGGGACCTAACTCCCACCACTTGAATCTGGACGTCGTCAGTGACTCGACTGAGCAACAGATTGTGGCAGAGGTGCCGGTTGGAATTCCAAAGCTAAGGCATAAGAGGCCTTGCCACTCCCATCCCGTTCTCTTGGAATGCTTGTTGTGGGGCACCTGGTCGCTGCGTAAGAAGTCCACGTACCGTATGATCGTCATGCCAGAAAGGCCACGTGTAGGCACTCTGGTCGACAGTCCATGGTGAGCCCGTCTTCCAGCCTGCCAAGGTGCCAGATGTGCGAGCGAAGCCATCAAAGACCCTCCTGACCAGCCAGCTGAATGTGACCCAGTGAGCCGAGTCGACACCATGGAATGTAGGAGAATGTCCCAGGCAGGCTCTGCCCAGGTTCCCTCCACACAAAACCAAGAGGCGTAATCAAACGACTGTTGTTCAAAGCCGTTAGGTTTGGGCATAGTTCGTTACCTGCACTAGACCAGAACGGAGAAGGAAGGAGATAACCAGGCTCGAGTATGGATTCTAGAGAAGTTCCGTACAAAGTGGGTTTTGCAGGATTAAGTGTCGAGTGGATAATTCTGTTCTTGGGGAGGCCAGGCCGCTGCATTGCATCACTGCAGGAGGAACCAGTCACGTCGCAGTCTCTCCGGACGGTGCCCGCTGGAAATGTGCGGTGTCCAGCGTGTGCAGACTCGTGGCGGTTGTGGGAGTGGGTGCCGGGAGGGCACGTTAGCCGGTGTCATGGGAAGGGAGAGGAAGGTGAATTGTGCTGCAGCCATGGCAGCAGCGGGAGCAAAGTTTTGCAGGCACAGGTGCCATGCCGGGTCTCGGGTACGGTTCTGTGCAGTGCCCGCTGTCCGTACTGGGGCTGGAGCCGAGCCAGAGGCCAGGCCGAGCGATGTGTAGGGTCTCATTTACATACCATCCTGAGGATGCAGGAGGAGGAGGAAGGCAACAGAGAGACGGAACATTTCAGAGTCAGGGAGCAACACATCCCAGACAGTATTTGAGAAATTTGCAGTTCAAAACCCCTCAGACTGTGAAAGACACTGTTTGTTCTTCCAACTGCCCGCCGTTCCCTGAAAACTTGGCAGATCCATTTTTTTTTTTTAAAGGAAGGTCTTAAACAACAAGGGATTACTGAATGATTCATTTAAAAGGATCGTTAGAAGAAAATCAAGGCCCATCGCATCCTGCCTTCTTTAATTGCTCATTTATTATTACTGTGGGTGTGATAACGGCTTTGTGTTCTTCTAAACAGTGTAAAATATTTATTTTGGTAAATATAGCAGTGCATACATTAGTGCCAGTCGAGATTTTGTGGAGCCTTTTTCCTTTTTCTCCACCGATAGCCGTAAGTTTTACTTAAAGAAGAACAACATTGTGATGACCCATATTCTGGCTCGGAGCTGAGTGAGGCCATTATGAACTCAGCATCTGTATGACGACACTGTCTCGTAGTTTCTATGGCAGGGTTTTCTTGCTGGGCTGGCCCTATAGTTAGTTTGCGAAATCAGTTTCTTTCCTGTTTATTAAGACCGTAGTGCTTGGGAAGAGGGCATGTGGGGATATAAATTTTTCATCGCATTGAAATCCTGTAACAAACGACCCCAGTAAAAGTGACCTTTATGAGTGAGAATATTTATTTTCTGTGATCTGAAACTTCACAGTTAGACGGTTCCATAGAGCTGGTTCAGGGACTTAAGAATGCCACCAATGACCCAGGATTATGTCCTCAATACAGCGATGTCCAAAAAGAGCTTTTTTTTTTTCTTTTTTTTTTAATGTTTTCTTTTTCTAAATCCTAGAGCTACGTCTTTTCTGGAATCTGTCAGCAGACTTCTATTCATATTCCCTTATCCATAATCACTTCAAAAATCAATCACGTGAACAGGAGGAACCATGGACCATTCCCTGGGCAGGGGGGAACGTGAAAACAGTTACAGAGGAACAGCTCATGTGTGTGCAGCCAACTGTGTTGGTTGGGGGCCTCTTCTCCAGCATGATGGTATCTCAAACCAGTTTAGGGGTGGTGATCGAGTACATCCCGCCTGCCCAGCTCGGTACCCTGGCGGGAAGGTAAACAGAAGCATACGAGACATTGCTTATTCTTGGGGCGTTGTAGTGGACATCGTAATAAGGCAGGCAATTCCTTAACTTGAAACATTAATGTCCTAAGTACATGGGTCATCCATTACCCCTTAGGAGGTGGGAACACAGAGATGGATAAGACCCACTTCCTGTCTATGGAAATTCGCGGTTCCCTTCAGCTGCTTCATCCCGACCGGTCCTACCTGAAGCGGTTTCACGCTGCAGTGTGACCAGGCTCTGTCGTGCTTCCCTGTGGGCACGCAGAGCTATGCCGTGGCTGAAACCCTCCCCGAGGCCCATTTCTGGTTCGTTTCTCAGTGTCCTCCGTCACTCACGGACCTGGCTGGGTGAAACGCTCCTTCCTGGATCCTCCCAGCGCCTGTGTCGCAAAATCCTTACCATTCCCAGGTCCTAACTGCGTGCCGACTGCTCACCTGAGCCAGGCCTGAGCCCTACGAGGGCAGAGGGTATCTTTACTGCCTCACCTGGCGACTGGAACAGAGGTGGTTTGCAGTGAACGTTTGTGGGACGGGCACATGAATAAATGAGAGAAAGGAAATGAATCTGGATTTGTTACTTCCCTTTCATCAGTCTCTACCTTACTAGTTTCTCTCTCTCTCTTCTCCTTCCTCTTATCTCTCCATTTCCTCTCATTTTCTTTTCCTTCGCTCACCACGCATCGCTACCCGATACGTTACATTCATTCACGAATGCATCTAGCCTCTTACAAGTTACACCGTCCTGCACAGCCTGGATTCGATCTTTTCTCCGCCTCTCTCAGAAATTAGAGTGATTACGGGGCTGCCGGAGGTGGATCCAGAAACAGAGCAGTTGATCAGGGAACTTTGTTTTCCACGTCGGATCCACGTGCAAAGGGCTGGAGTTCTGCTGGGACATTGCGATTGATAATAAGAAATCTACATTGGGTCTTTATTCCAGTTTCTGGCAGGGAGCCCCCAAACAAGCGAGGAGAGTGAGCAAGGTGTCTCTTGTTATGTTAATGAGGTGGCTTTGGGACACCACCTCAGGATGGGGGCCGGTCGCCAGGAGAACCAGGGACCCGCTGGTGGTTAGAGGGTTGCAACGTTCATTTTCCCTCTGCACAGAGGAGAAAGGAGCTGGAGGCCGGAGGCCGGAGGCCGAACCCACAGACAACGCACAGAAGTCGCGTCTTCTCTGCAATTTCGCTTTTCGGCCATTTCTGTTGCCCACAGTCGGTCTCGGTCTGAAAACGGTCCACTGAAAGCCGCAGGAAGAAGCACTTCCGAAGTGGGAAGCCGCGCGCC